TTTTTTGTTAGACGTTGAGACATATCTTGAATAATGATTTTCAGTCAGTCGTCGAAATAAAAGAAACAAATAAATACAAATATTTATTTATAATATACGTTTCGACACGGATTGTGTGCCATCATTCAGCAATTCTTTGTTAACAGTATCTAAAAAATATTTTCAAAGTTTTTCAAAAATAAACTTAATTTTATATTTAAAATAATTAAAAGATATACATACCACACCAAGAAAAAACATTTTTTGAATAAATACATATAGACAAACCAATCATACAATACATACAAAATAAATATATAAAATAAACAATATTAACTGAACATGTTTTGTTTTTAATTTTTAATATATTTGTGTAATGTAATTATGTGCGCTTCCAACGCCAACGAAAGCCACGTGACACACAAGGAGTGATTGAAAACGTATTTTCAGGGATAGTTGAACCGTGAGGACACAAATTTCAGTATTTTTTCGTATTTTCAGACGAAAAATATCAAATAAAACATGAAACACAATAGTCAACGATTTCGAAAATTATTTATATTTTGAAAAAAAAAATATTATGAGATAAGATAAGAGTCATGTACTGGAAAAGCAGAATTAAACGTAAAGGGGGTTTAAAAAAATAAATACAGATTCAGCAAATTTTCTTAGGTCAACATTCTTTTCCTTATGTAAAAAACTAATCACAACGAAAACATTGTCTTAAACTGATTTTTATTTTTTGAATTGCAAATGTGTTGGTTCATACTCTTGTAAGTATATTGCGAACTTTCACCAATATAACAACAATTACAATCATTGGAATCCACTTTGTAAACAACATCAGTAACACGCTCAACTGGAGTTTTAGACTTTAAGGGAGTGAAAAGTGAGTTTAAAGTATTGTCAAAAGAAATAACTAACGGAAAACCTTCATTTAAAAACATTTTTTTCAAAAAAAGTGAAAAACTGCCTAAATATGGCAATGAAAAATACCTTTATATTTATTTGTAAAAGACGGATCTGAATTAGCCAAAATAGAACGTTTTGAAAAATCATCAAAAATAGAATTATCAGACTGTGAAGCAAAGAATTTATTTTTTAAAAAATTTAACCTGTTATTAATTACATTCTTTATTAAATGTAAATGGTAAGAATTTGGGTATTCGTAAGGGGGGCGATACATGTAACAAGAAAAAAAAAATCGATTTTTTTTTTTCATAAATCGTTACAATAACATCTCAAAAATATGCCTGTAAATATTCAAAACAAAATTATCATTATTTATACGATAAAAACTCATTTAAGTGCCACGCCTCAACTCGACGCTTGAGTGCTATTGTACTCTTATCTGTTTCTGTGTCAAATTTTAAACGCGTTTTTCTCAAAACGACACATTTTTGAAATTGCGGGCGTGATAACTCAAAAAGTTCTCAACCGATTCCAATGAAATTTTGCACACACCTAACCTCAAACATTCCAAAAATGTTTCAAAATTAACCCTTTTACCAAAAAAACCATTGAAAAAAGGTGAAAAATCGAACACTAAGTGTGCCAATTTACGATTTTGTGACTTTTTTTATTTTTTTTTTTGGTTTAACTAGAAGATATATGTTTTATGAACACGTACAAACTAATTTTTTTAAATTCAGATCACCGTACGAAAAGTGAGAACGCCCGCAAATTGATGGCGTTTTCCGAGAGGGTCTTGGCAGATTTATTTTTACGGCAGCCATTTAAAAAAAAAAATTTAAAAAAAAATTTTTTTGTGTATTTTAATATAATAAATAACCCTAAAAAAGTTCAAAAAGATTCAATCATTCCTTCCCAGTTTAAAAAGTCCTCAAAAAATGGTAAAAATTAAGGCGATTACATGTATCGCCCCCCTTAAATATTTGAAGTGTCTCTTCTGGGCTACAACGGAGATATAGTTTTGACATTCTTCTTTGTTGCCGAGTAGAAGTTTCTTCTAGAAATTCGATTATAATTCGATTCGAAGCGGGCACTTCTCCTTCTTTGTTCCCAGTACCTGGGCTACTATCGAGCAATAATTCAGTCATTCTCATTTCTCCAAGTAGAAGTTTGTTCTTCTTCGTTTTCCATTTGTTTAGAACATATAGAGGTCACGCGTTTTCAATCCTTTACCACCGAAATTCACTACACAAAATTTAAATTTAAATGTTTTGGTTTGTCTTGTAGGTTTTATATGTATATAAAATATCAGGCATATGTTAACATAATTATTTGACGGAATTGATGTTCATCAATGGAGAATTGATGTCTACTAAACTAAAAAAAAATGCGTAGTCACGTTTGGTGTTACAAACTTTAATTTGTCTTTTCTTAAAATGGAACAAGTAGTTTAAACATAATTATTTTTAAAATATGAATTGAGCAAAAATATTCTGAAAATATAATGATTATTTAAATAATGTTCACTTCTAGTAGAAAAACTAGAGATTCTCCAATGCGATCTCAACACTTATTAGCCATAATCATCCCCACTCTTGTCTATTGCCTAAATATGGGACTTACACATCGAGCAAAATTCAACATTTTTCAACATCTTGTTGGTAAAAAAAACAGTAATGTATCTGTTAACATGAAGTAAATTGCTACTTTCTTCTTTTAATAATAAATCCATAAGTATTCACATTAGACGAAATTAGAATATCTTCATTCTAACTAGACTCACACACGACTTTGACCGAAGCATAGCATAATAATAATGTTTTTAACGAATCAATCGCACTTTCTGTTTTATCAAGCTTACAATTGCCAGAGTAAAAATGGACAGAATGAAATTTATTGAGAACAATGCAGGAAGCATTTCGATTATTAATTCCGTCTAATACTACAAAAACAAATTCTAGAGGGTCTTGGTTTAAATAACGATTGAGTAAACTTAATTTTTGGATCTTTATTTTACTGCCAATATTTTAGAAACCTCTATTGTTTTAATCTAATTTTGAATAGTTGGAGATAGTGAAGTTTGTTCTTCTTCGTTTTCCATTGTTTAGATAGAACATATAGAGGTCACGCGTTTTCAATCCTTTACCACCGAAATTCACTACACAAAATTTAAATTTAAATGTTTTGGTTTGTCTTGTAGGTTTTATATGTATATAAAATATCAGGCATATGTTAACATAATTATTTGACGGAATTGATGTTCATCAATGGGGAATTGATGTCTACTAAACTAAAAAAAAATGCGTAGGTCACGTTTGGTGTACAAACTTTAATTTGTCTTTTTTAAAATGGAACAAGTAGTTTAACATAATTATTTTAAAAATATGAATTGAGCAAAAAATATTCTGAAAATATAATGATTATTTAAATAATGTTCACTTCTAGTAGAAAAACTAGAGATTCTCCAATGCGATCTTCAACACTTATTAGCCAATCCCCACTCTTGTCTATTGCCTAAATATGGGACTTACACATCGAGCAAAATTCAACATTTTTCAACATCTTGTTGGTAAAAAAAAACAGTAATGTATCTGTTAACATGAAGTAAATTGCTACTTTCTTCTTTTAATAAAAATCCATAAGTATTCACATTAGACGAAATTAGAATATCTTCATTCTAACTAGACTCACACACGACTTTGACCGAAGCATAGCATAATAATAATGTTTTTAACGAATCAATCGCACTTTCTGTTTTATCAAGCTTACAATTGCCAGAGTAAAAATGGACAGAATGAAATTTATTGAGAACAATGCAGGAAGCATTTCGATTATTAATTCCGTCTAATACTACAAAAACAAATTCTAGAGGGTCTTGGTTTAAATAACGAGTTGAGTAAAACTTAATTTTTGGATACTTTATTTTACTGCCAAATATTTTAGAAACCTTCTATTGTTTTAATCTAATTTTGAATAGTTGGAGATAGTTTTGATCTTCTCGTCTTGGTTTAAATAACTAGTTGACTAAAACTTAATTTCCGGATACTTATTTTTACTGCCAAATATTTTAAAAACCTTTTATTGCTTTAATCCAATTTTGAATAGTTTGAGAGAGTTTTATATCTTCTCGTCTTTTTTAAAGAAACTAAGACACGTCTAGCCTCTTTACAAAATGCTTAATGGTTAGAATCGGCTAGAGAGAAATAGAGAGCTCTTCATAGAGCTTTAAAGTTTTCTTTGCAAAACTGGAAGCTTATTATGAATGATAATTATGAATTCAATAGAATACATTTTACATTATTTTTACTTTCTTACTTTGCATTTTACATTATTTTTACTTTCTTACTTTGCATTTTACATTATTTTTACTTTCTTACTTTGCTTAGTAGCGTATATCTATAAGAGAACTCTACGGCAGTCCCTCACACTCATCTTCCTAATCTTTTCAGTGTATACCTTATGTGCTCGCAAATTACAGCGCATGCGGAAAAGTGGCAACTTTGAATCAATTTCATACAATTCGATTTCAGGATGTCCTTTTCTGTTGATTTTGTTGTATGAAAGTTACAACATATGATAAAAAAAATTCAGTTGATGTGGAGGATCATATTAGGGGTTCAGTTTCTTGCTCGCCAACAAGAGAACCCTGAAGTTTGTAAATTAGACAACACGTTTATTGCAGATACAACTGTTGCGTGTACATCATATTCGGTAGCTACAATGTTGATACCAATTGCTTGCCGGTTTGAAATTGCAAGCCTTGAGTTCAGAACTTTTAACATTGCTTTCAGCGAAGAAGTATGCCACTGATTGTTTGAAATACCACGTATAGATATAGCGAGTTGTGCTGTGTCGCTAATGTCACAACTTTTATCAAGTGGCAAAGAACAGTATTCAAATTCAGCAATTCGTTTACGAAGCGTTATTGCTTTTGTATAGAGTTATCGAACATGCCTTTTAGTTCCCTGAGCGTGGACAGGAATTTTAGTCACTTCAATACCTACTAGCCTTCGTGAGCCCCAGCCAGAATGTTTGGAAGAATGGAAGATGATTTACAATTGTTTGCATGCTTGTTGGTTTTCTCAAATATCAATAATGTTTTATCGTAGATCTTTCCAAATTGGAATATGCAGTTGGCAGAGAAAATTGTGACATAAATTTGACTACAGACGAAAAGTCTTTTGAACACCTACATTTTATATCTAGGACACATTTTAAACTTAAACGAGACAGTAGGAATTCTCTTGTTTATTTAGAAGATTTTTCTCGAAATGGAACATTCATAAATGGTGAAAAAGTTGACAAAGGAAACCAAAGAATATTGCAAAATGAAGATGTTATAGCAATAGGTAGTGATTTCAGAAAATTGTTTAGATTTTTTTATCGTTTCACACATACTGTGGATAAAATCCCAAATCTCATCAAAGATGACTACTACATTTCTCGTTTGCTTGGAAGCGGTGCATGTGGTGCTGTGAGATTAATTATTAACAAAAGTACATGTGATAAATTTACTATGAAGCAGATCATCAAGAGTAAAGCAGATGGTGAAAAGAAATTAAACCATCCTAATCGTATTATGAAAGAAATTAATATTATGAAAAAATTAGATCATCCATTCATAGTTAGTATCTACAACATTGTTGAAACTCCTGAAGCAGTATTTTTGATATTGGAACTTATGAATGGAGGTGATAAATCATAATAAAATTAAAGAGTCAAAATATCTGAAACAACCAATGGTTAAGAATATTATATACTAACTAGCTGTTGCTGTTAATTACTTACATCGGCAGAACATTACACATAGAGATTTAAAACCTGAGAATATTCTGTTACAAAGCAATAGTGATGATTCAATAGTCAAACTATCAGATTTTGGCTTAAGTAAAATTGTTGAAGGTGACACAGTGTTAAAAACTGAATGTGGTACTGCATGGTATGTTGCTCCCGAAGTGATATTAAAGAATTATAAAACTTATACTGAAAAAGTTGATGTTTGGAGTCTAGGTGTAATATTATTTGTTTGTCTTTGTGGATGCTTACCCTTCTCAGCAGCTGATCAAATTTGCAAAGGAAAATACTCTTTTAAATAATGTATTTGGTCTTCGGTTAATGCTGAATGCAAAGATTTAATTTCTAAAATGTTACAAGTAGATCCAAAAACTAGATATAGCAGTTCCGTAGTTCTTAATCATAAATGGTTACAGGATCCCGATGCTATTAAGCGTTATAATGATTTATTAAATCAGGAAAATGAAAAAAAGGAAATTACCGTTTCTGATTTGGAAGATTCAATAAATGAACATTATAATAATTCTTGTCCTGAAAATTGTCTAGATATAATAGAACCACCTGCCAAACGTCATCAAAGTCTACTTATTTTTTAGCGAATCAAAAGTTTGGTTTGTTATCAGTATTAAAAGGAACAAAATGTACATGTTACATACAAAAGTACTTTTATGCTCTAAGTAATAAAATGACCAAAATTATATTTAAAATATGAAACATTTTTATAAACAATAGTGAATAATACTTTTGATCATTGCACCCTGAGAAAAAAAGCATACATTATGATATTTTCTTCTTTGTAAAACACAGTAAATTCTGCAAATCAAATCAAATTAATTGTTCGGCCATGTCATGTGTATGCATATTTTAAAACTAAGTTGCTTTACAAAAATTTTTAACTTTCGATTTTAATTAATTTTTCAGATATTCATCTTTTATTATATTTATTGCAAAAAATACAATTTATCTAGCTTTTTCTGTTTGTATGCTAAGAGCATAGAAGGAAAAGTCTTGTTAGCATTTGTCTATTTTGGGTTTATTTCATAGTTTTTAAGTTGAGAACATGTACCTGATTTTGATTATAATATGTTGCATGTTACCTCAGTTGTGCTCCACAATGAAATGTACCTAATAATTTAAGAATGTTATGAATTGAGTTATTTTATCAGAATATATTTTTCATTATTGATGAATAATAATTATTGATGAATAATGTGCAATTGGCCCTGGTTTCATGTCTTCACCAGAAGCAACTGCCTCAGCTTGTTCCTAAGGCTAAATAACTTTCCTCAGTTGTCGATTCAACAGCAGGGGTCACACCACTGTAGCATCCAAAAGAAAACTTGTGTTTTTGCCATTTTTTTCGGGCGTTTTTTTAAAGATTAATGAACATACTAAACCATTAAAGTCTTACGGAAACTGATTCAATTATAAAAATTATTGATATTTGAAAATTTGCTTTTAGAAAATACTCCAAGTTAACGGGTTCATTCGTTTTCAGTTATGTGTAATAAATGCACTCGGAATACTTTTAAACACTCATAAATTAATTTATTTTTATCGATTAAGTAGATCATTTAAACATATCGGAAAGTTCATATTAAAATTGTAGTTGAAAAATTAAACATAGTGCCCATCTGTTCGAATAATGTTTTCAGCATAGTATTAAGTTCAGAGATATCTTTGGTATTACTTTCGATTTCTTGATTAGTGCTGCTTGGTATTTCTTGTGTTGTGTTTGTGTTTGTGTTTCGGCTAGTAATTCGCGAGTAAGATAAGCCTTGAATTACTGCAGAATTTCTGTTAATATTCGGATTGTTAGTTGGTTGTAGTCTCTGTCGTAACGGAGGAAATTTCCGATTGAGCTCTTCCTTGTAGACTTGGCATCCCTTGTAGTTTGTGGGGTGATTTTGACCGCGGAGTACACACTTGACGTTCTTGTTAATTTTGTCTTACCATAAACTTTTTTGGGTGTAATGTTCTACAGCGCACTTAACACACTGTGGAGTTAACTTTTGCTCGAATTTCACTGCTTTCCTCTTTCTTGCTGGTCAACATCGGAGCGGTTTTGCATTGATTGTAGGTTCACTAGAAATAATTATAATTTAGTTTAAATATAATTTAATCAGGCGATATAATCAGTATTAGTTTTGCAAGGTATGAGTGAAAAGGATTAAAATATGCTAATAAAGTTACATAGAAATAAAACAACTTCAATTCAAAATATAACACTGCCATAAAATATATTCATAATAAATGAAATTGCATTTTGCTTTTAGGCAACTTGCATGAATTTCCCGATATGTGTAATAATTAAATTAATCAACCAAAATTAAAATTTTGATATTTAGATAAAATTTTCAACTGTTTATTTTAAAAATATAGTTTTTGCTTTCAATTAAATCTTTGACACAATTTTTTAATATTATTTCAAACTTTGATGATTATAGGTTTAATCAAATTAAACGACTTGTCGTAGGGTCCTAAAATTTTAGTATATTCTTTAGAACCAATATATCTATCAACATAAAATATTTTATAGAAGGAATTCGATCTTCACCAAAAACTAACCAGTATCTAAAACAGTTTAAGAATATTTTTGCGAAATACATACTTCTTAACCCATACAGCACATGGTTGACATAGGGTCACAATGGGCTGTAGGATTAACCCATGGTCAATCCACTGGTACCATATATGAACATAGGTTAACCCATGGCGACACTTATGTCAGAGCCTTGGTTTGACTCATGGTCAACCTGACGGGTTCAATACGGGTATGCTATGGGACTGGAATGGTATTGCTATGGGTTAAAATGGCGGTATATAGTGCAATAATGGTTGCATACTTTCAGTGCGTATTTGTAATAAATAATTCATATAGTTATAAGTATTGAATGAACTAAAATGGTAATTTATTTACACTACTAAAAATAACTAAATTAAAGTAACTTAACTAAATCATTGGTAATCATCATCCTAAAACTTATTATCTTATTATCTAGTATCATTAAATTTAAAGTAATTATTTAATTTTTTATTTTAATTATTTTCATTATCATTATCATTATTATTATTTACATTGGGTTCATCACCACCTTCTAAAGCACTGGAAGGAACAAATTTTGAATTATTATAAACTATAGTTTTACAGGTTTATTTTATATAATAAATAATGTTAATTGACATTTTGGAAATATCTGGAATATATTTCAACTTACGGAGCATTTTGGACAAATCTGTCATGGGCATGACGCAGCCATCACTTGACACACTGTTCAACTTGGCTCTGCGTCACACGCTGTTGTTCAGATACGATATCTGAAAACATTATTGGTTCAATTATTTGTTTAAATAATAAATAGTTTAAAGTAAGTCATTTAATGTATTAATTAACACTTATAATTATTTTTACTATTAGGAGGGCCGAAAAATTCTTTTTGGCTTTGCCTCCAACCCAGTTGTACTCCTTCGCTACCACATTCTTAAATACCTTTTTTAAAAGGGATATGGTAGCGCTTCGTCCTAGGCGTGCTTTCTATAAATGATACAGTATATGTAATTGATTTGTCCATTATATCCATTGAGGAACATCATATTTACCAATTTTTCTGCTATTGACGCATCTGTCAATAACTGTTCCACAACTTGCAGTTCTGCCTCCGTCGACACCGGAAATTTATTGTACACTGCCAGTGTATAATCAGGCACTGCTTATTAATGCCGCATATTACAGCTTGGAACTTGCTGTCAATGGTGGCATTCAGCTGCTCAAATTTAAGATTGATTTTTATATCCAATCTCCAAATCTGTTTTTTTAAAGTTGTCTTAACTTCATAATGTACATTAACATTGATGTAATTAATGTAATGAAATAACTCACTTTTGTACTCCTCCATGGGCTCTGTGCTGCACCCAGAACCATGGTCAAACATCCTATTCCCATCATCGCAATCTTAAATATAATATTAGGCGATATGATATGTAGCATTAGTATACTTTTTAATAGATTACTTACAAGTGTTAATTAGACGCGTTGCATTTGGCGTTGGTCCCCTATTGACTACTGATGTGGAATCTAAAATTTTAGATTAATAATATCAACATAACAATATATATAACTAATATTTCAAGTGAATTTATAGTAAAACTAGCCGGCCCGACACACTTCGTCCTGTCAAAAAAAATTGTAATGTGGCAGTGTTTTGTGCCTACCTTTTTTCTATTCTTTGCAAAAAATTATCCTGAACAGAACCGTCACCCTGGTAATAATTCGGTGTGAATTAAAAATAATTAAATAAAACACTATAAGCATTTAAAAGTAAGTAATTTTAATAATGTAAATCATAATTCAAAAATCAGTTCAATTTTCATTGTAGTGCTTTGTGATAAACGATGTTTTTTGTTTGATTACCTGGCGCAGAGACAAATAAATCTGATGGTTTTCCAATACCGGAACAAACAACATACAATTTTCCATGTGAGAAACATGGGTTTTCTAAATTAATACCACAAACACTTAATGATACCATAAACGCTCTGGAAACGCATTGGTATGCATGGTGCGAGAACATCTTCTGCTTTATACTATCCTTTGAATATAGTTGGTCGATATTTTGCAACATTAAAATTGCCGATCCAACCTTTAATTGAAGATTGTGAGGTGACAATCCTAGCAAATCCAGCGAGTTTAAAAACTCCGGTGGATCGTCTTGGTTAGTTGCCGAATCAACTGATTCGCCTGTAATTTGTTCTTGAATTTTGAAATTTAATTAATTTACATCAATGTTTTTGGCTGCCAAGATAGCTTGATTAATAGAAAGATATTTCTATGTTTATATAAATATATTCAAAATTAGATTATCAAAAACTACACAAAATGTCATGACATAGATCATTGTTTTTTTTACAAAT